ATAACAGAGCTAAGAAACTCACTAGTCATTGTAAGGACTTAAATAAGAAATTGAAACACATAAAAAGAAGCTTTATTAATCAATAATTATCCCCATCATTTTATTAAGAAATTCACACAAACACATATGAAGCAAAATAATAACAGTAATACAAATACAAATGATATCGACAACATAAGTAGAAAAGAAATCAACACCTCTATTGTGATGCCATACAAGGAAGGAACATTAGAAACCATGTGTAGGATTCTCAACAAAGTTGAAGTTAGGGTGGCATTTAAACCAACAAACTCACTTAGAGGTAAGCTTCGTCGGCTAAAAAATCCGACAGAACCAATTAGGCAAAATAATATAATCTACTGCATTCCATGTAATGACTGCGAGGTCAAATACATAGGTCAAACTATCCAGTCGGGGTCAGTTAGATTAGCAGAACATAGGAGTTTAGCTAAAAATAGAACGACAGACCCCAATAAGATCAATAATCTAGAAAAACGCTCGACCATTACATTACATTCATTAACACACAACCACACAACAGGGTGGGACAAAATCACTGTACTCAAGTCCAATATAACTAGGTGGAGAGAGAGATTAATTACTGAATCTTTGTTTATCGAATCCACACCCAACACATGTAATAGGAATGACGCAACACATATACCAGAGATATGGGAAACTTCACTACCAATCAAAAAACAAAAACAAAGAAAAATCAGGTGACAGGACTATAAAATCAGATATCGAGAGAAGTGTGATTACACTGATATGGTTATGAGCAATAATTTATGCTCGAATAGTAATGAAGTGAATAATACTGTATCACTGTGCGCTATATATCAAATAAACAAGTCTAATATGGAATTACATTCTACCACAGTGCCGAAGTTTTACACTTATACTCCAGATCCCTTTGCAAAGAACGTGATATGTGAGGCTTCTAGCCCACGATTCCTGGTTGGCATGGGAGTGTAGATCACCCCCACACCACCTTCGCTATCAAGGAAACCAACAAAACAGTAAGTAAAGTGCATCCCGCAGCGACAAATATACCACTGAATGAGGCATCCCATGGACATTCCTGTTTACCTGTCTTCATCCTAGGCTCAAACTACAGATTGATATTCACTGTCATATGTTTTCATTTTGGGCCGACTAATTGAATGATTTTAGTCTGCTGCTTGCTGTCAGTGCGAGAGTACGGGCCTGTGAAAAACCTCAAGTTAACTGAATAGGCTTAACCGCACCAGTTTTCTGAGATGTGTGAATTAGATGGTGAGTGGGTGGTAAACGAAAAACATGTGACACGATAACGTGCCGAACGCCATCGATACTTGGACACGCACCTTCGAACGAACAAATTTGTTAAGCTACGAACATAATATCGCATAATCCCAGGCTACCGGGAGTGGGGATTCTTTTGCTACTCTGGAAAGCTTTCCGCTTTTGCCATAGCTTACCTTGAATCTTGGCCTGAGCACTGATCCATGTCTGCCTTTCTCACTGCCTGTTAAACTTATCTACCCAGAATGCATCAGAGAAAGACCCGGAGCCTGCGATCACATAGTCTTCATATGGAATAACAGTCTACCCAAAGGGAGCACAAATATACCTCAACACCGGAACAGGTAGTTGCGCCTGCTGAGGCGAATATCATAAAGCAGCAAATTTCTTCCACTGAAATGAATAATGCCAGAACTAACACAACTTTTTTGCTGATCAACTTCACTGCTGAGGAGTTGGACTGACCATTTCCAACTCTGCCAACTTTGCTCTCCAGAAAACAGCCGGGTTGTAGCGCAAATATCGCCTAAGGCAATCGATGCAACATCAAAGCGAGGAGGACAAGATGTCATCCTCCATGATTCCAAAGCAAGTTCAATGGTTCAATGCCGACTTATGGTGGGCAGAATGTCCACCAGCCAGGGAGCTTGAGTTACTAGAGGCCAAAAAGGGGAAAACCTCTCTGGACTGGAGATTGCCAAAACTTTGAGCACCGGCTTCGACACAACTAAACATTCCGTCATTCAACTGAATCCACTGACTGCTTGAGCAGCCTTCAGCACCACCTGATGTAGGAGAGTCGCATGGAATAAAGAGAACCTGAGCTATGACCCTGAAATACCATCAAAGCTCCAAGCAGGAAAATCACCGGGATTCGACAGCACTTGGCCGCCTGCGCTGAAGTAGTATGCGGGTACCTTGTACTGTCCATTCTGTAATCCGTTCCAACACTCCCAAAAGAAGCACGTGTTTCCACAGCAGTGGAAAGGTGCCATTCTCCCTCCCATCTTCGGAGAGGGAGACCGGCAGAACCTGAAGTGTTGTCCTATGGTGCTTCTTCCAATGCTGTCGAAAGTAATGGATAGCCTGGTGTGCGACCCTGTCGGAGAGTACTTAAGCAAGAGGGGAGAACTAAGCAGTGCTCCGCGTAGTTTCCGAAATGACAGATCCTGCACCTCAAACCTCCTGGCAACCGGTGAGGGCTGGAAGGAATACCAGGACCCCGAAGTCCCTGTTCATGTGATTTTCCCGGGTTTTGCCAAGGCCTTTGACACAGCTTACATGCCATTCGCGCAAGCAAATTATCAAGATTGGGTAGCTAACACCATGTGCTTTTCTGGAAGTAGAACTATTTTGACGGCAGAGAATTTTGCACAAGCATCGGTAGGGTCCACTCGATTTGGAAGACATAGTCATATGGTCTATAAAATGGAGTGATTTTAGGCCTGCTGCTATTCCTTCCTTCTGTGGATGACTTTCTGCTGAGTTTCAGCCTCTTGATACCTTAAGCTTAAGATGTTAAGTTGTGGAGTGCCGTGGCTTCAAAGACAGAATCAAATGCACCACAAAGTGGCCTCAGGTTGCTTGCAGAGTGGGTGATTAACGTCTGACTGGTATTTAACCCTGATGAATGACCAACCATGTTTCTCGGCGCCCCAACTCGCAAAAAGTGTCCTACTGTCTCCGCAGCACACGACTTTCCGAAACCATCACAAAGAAAAACCTGGGACCCATAGTGGCTGACAAGCTTAACACTCTCTCCAATTATCTGGGAGAGGCCTCCAGAGCTCACGCAGGTCTGTAAATCAAGTGCAGATAACTAGTTGCCCTTGGCACGAAACTCGTCCTTCAGCCATACAGGACCCGTATACGGCCTTGCTTAAAGGTCCACAACGTCACTGCACCACCGTGCCTGAAAATAGATTTGAACCTTTTGGAGAAACTCGGAGGTGAGCAGCAAAAAGTTATAGAAATGAGGCTAACACTGTATGAAGACGGACCAAAACACCTGGGGTTTTACTCTCCCAGATTCTTCAGGTTGCGTCGCCGGCTCGATAACAGCACACAAAACAATAAGCACCCCGGTTCTTCCAAACGGCGGAATCCCAGCGAAAGCCTCTGCGACAATCCTCGTTGTAGCCAAAAGGGAATCGCCAACCTAAGGGAGAAAACCCATGTGTGTTCACACTTTTTCTATATGCGAGCTCACAGCAACTGGAACGCATTGCCCGTCAAGATCATCACTGTTCCGTCTGCTGACTGACTCGAGACGAAGTTGGACGGCTACGCAGCTACACGCGGCTGACGCTCATTCGGCTGTTTTACTGACTAGATCAAGGCAACTGACTTATTCCGCACAACCCAGTATAGTCAGTCCTACAACTCATCTCGTGTTCGTCCACTATCATCACGAATTTGCCTTGACCTTACACTTCCCTGTTAGATCTCCCTTCCAATTAATTTACGCCCATTAATAATATTGCTATTAGATGATACGGTTAGTGCAGAAGATATCACCAAGTCCAGTGATGAAACGTTCGCACCAAGATACCAAGCTCAGAGACCACCAAACCACTATCCTCCTCATCCTGAGCTACAAGTCTTAGCCATCATTTCAACATTACTATTTCTATTCTCACAATCCGTCCTGCAATCTTACTTGTCCCATCCCCTTCCTCCGACTCAGTGATCTCACCCTGGATGTTGAGGTTCTTCTTATCACTGTTATCCACCCTGGACCTACCTAGGCTTCTCCTTTCCTTCTGCTTCTTTTCGTACTTTCTCTCCCACGGTTTCCCCAGATATCTCTTCCTCCTTCCTATATTCTTTTTGCAACCAGCCCGGACAGCTGTCTGGTGGCACGGCACCTGAGGAACCCATACGTACCACAATCCTTGGGAAATCAAACAACACGTCGATCGGTCACGGGAGAGCAGCCAGTTTCACGCTCTCCAGTAGTGAGTCCCGACCGAATATTGGTCTTTTTGAGGTGTGGCCACCAAGCTAGGGGCTCAACACCACGGTGAACATTGGTAGATGTTGGCCGATTGTAGGTAATTTTCAGGAGGCTCTAGACCTAGGTTTCATGCTTGTTGGCACTCATCAGCAAGGGGTATCTTCGGCCTCGACGGAATTTATTTCCCTCCTGAGATCCGAACCCGAGCCTACTAGCTTGGTGGCCACATCGCAAAAATGATCTGCAGAATTTCGGTCAGCCATCGAGACTAGCCACTATGAAATTGATTGCTCCCCAATGAAAGACCAGTTTATGCAACGGAATCCTACAGGACGTCAAAAGCGGCGCAAGCAGTTCAGTGGTAAGTCACTGACTACCACAATGGGTGGCGCAGGTTGAAATCTAAATCGGAACATCATTTCCGTCGAGGGTGCAGATACGTCTTACTGATGGATGCCAAGAAGCATGAAATGTAGGTCCATGGCTTCCTTCTGACTGCCTCCAACCAACTGAAATCGTGAAATCCCCACGAATTTAATTAACAACCAACATCTCATCGGGTTAAACAGAGATACAGCAGGCAAGCGGGTGGACCTGCAGCATTGGAATCCATCAAGGACCTTGGGTCGTTTCGCAATATCTAGAAGAGAGCGTGAATAAATCTAGAGGCTTACACAAACAATGAAAAAAGTATTGGATATGGAATGATAAGCAGTAAGCGGGTTACAAATTGGACGTAACATAAGTATGTCCGTTAAAGATGAGAGATAGATTGCTGGTATTATTATTACTGGGAGTAGGTGCCATCAAAGTATGTAAGTTAGCTATTCCCAAACTATTGCGGGACTTCACACTTTCTAGACGAAGAGTACGATGAGGAGGAAAAAGAAGAACGTGATCCACTGGAACTAATGAAACATAAGCATAGTAAGAGAGATTTGGAGTCTGTTGAGAACTATGTTTCAAACCCTATACCAATTGAGGAAGAAACAATTGAAGCTATTTCAAACGGTTTATCACCGAAGTTCAGATCTAGGTGTCAGGACATAAAAGATGAGTGTTCTTGCAAGTAAGTGACCAGAAGTGGTTGAATCATTCATACTTCAGACGACTCCTATGTTTTGGTCCTGACAGCTGTGACCGGATAAATAATGTGACCAAGAAAGAGATTTCACATAACTCCACTGACCTTGTATGGATAATTCGTTGCCGACAAACATTCTTGTTGGGACAGAATTTGTGCGAATGCAAACGACTTTTGTTCCATAGGGAGGATACGAAGTGGTTAACTTCAGAAACTACTGACGTACCTTTAATCCAACTCTTGTAACTTGTTTAGTCTATGTTAAAAGGGGAAAACCCTATGCATTTCTTTGCATTTGTCTCTTGCATTTCTATTGTAGACGTGAGATTTCTGCTAATATAGAATTATTTATGACTTCTTTTTTCCACTCAGAAAATTTCATGCTTATGGAGTCTTAAATGTTCATTACAGGTGAAGTCGGATATGATATCGTTGTCAGAGAAGGTAGCACTAATTACAGGTAACACCATGTTGCTTTTTACATTTCCTAACTATGAATGTTCGTTTAAAATACCATGCAGTGCTGATTGCCCAAGTAATGTATTCATGAAGAACATGATTGATATAACTTATCAGAAAACTTTTTGTTCCTCCAGGTAGTCAGCTCCAGATGCAAGGAATAATGATAAATTATTGTGACTCATTCTTAATAGCATACCAAAAGGATTTATTTTTATCTGCAAAAAAGCCCAGCATAGACACTGAAAACTGACCTGCTTATTCCTCTTGGCGAGTAGTGTTGAGTTCTGGTTATTTGAATTTATTCTTAAAATTTTAATACTGACCGTAAGATCGAAACGATTAGAATTTACAGTGGAATGACTTTTTACTTTCTGAAGTTAAACACTATGACAGACCATTGTTCTGAATAGCTGTATTCATTATACGTATGTGACGTTACTGCATTCTCCGTTATTCGCATATGCTGTGACAAGTTTCCACGCTAACCACTTAGTTGTGGAAGCACCCAGAATTACTTGGGAATTCTCTATGGACCTTATTAAAGATGCCACACTTAGTGTTTATTCAAAAGGTGACAACGAATAATTTTCCTTCACAGACTGAGCAGCATCACTTCTTGTCCCTCGTAAAGTATTTAAAATTCTGCAGATCAATTTTCACACTTCCCTTAAGTGGTTCGTCAGTTCATTCTTACTTTCATGGTAGTAGGATTTTCCAATTATTTGCAGTGTGTGATGTGTCATTTCTATTACGTGTTAAGTGTTAGTTCTTTAAACGAAGATTCTGTCATCAGTCTTCCTCTACCTATCCATGCTGAATTTTAAAACACCCTATAGTGTGTTTATGAGTCAGTGTATTCAATAGTCGCCATGTTTCTAAGTTATTTGTCTTAGTAGGGTCTATTATTTTATATTTCGCTATAGTTTCGTACTCCACTATCGTGACTCACTCTGATTGACTTCTTTGACCTACATAATTAACTTCTCAATCATCACAAGGTATGCGGTAGATGTGGTTATTTCGCTTACTTGTATCAACTGAATCTCAGCTTACAATGTTGCCGATTGAATTTTTGGGTTTAAATGCCACACTAGTCCCAGCGTTGTTAAGAATCCTACATAAAATTTCTGATGTTCTTTCTCTATGTGGCAACGCTACAGAGGATATGGCGATTTAGATACGTGTTTATCGGAAACCAACACACTAAGACAAATGACAGGATTTCATATGATCTCATCCTGTATCTGTCTGGTAAGGCTTGTTAAGATGTTAAAGTAATGTAGCTAAAAGTCTGACTAATAGGTCGGGGAATCTCACTAAGGAACTGAAACACATCAAAAAGACGTCATCGTTATAACTACCATCCGGAGCTTACTAAGATGGCTATAAAGACCTATTCAAAAGACAGCGATAATATTAGTTGTAATTGCAACATACCCAAGAGGGAAACCAAATCTTTGATGAGGTCAAGTTTAAAAATCGCGTGATTACACTGTTTTAACTATAAGCGACGATGTGAAAAATCGGAAAGTACCCTCCTTCATCCTAGCAACAACGTTCTACTTTGTTGCCTTCTGAATTTCCACATTTTGTCAACAGTTGTATATCCAGTTCTTGTAGTATTGTAGCTTATGCTAGCGATTCGGCTTCCGGAAGTAGTATCCCCAGTCCTCAAGATCTGCTCTCCGAACTACAAATGGGAGCTTTCAGTATCCTGACTCCTCGTCAAAATGGACAAAGAATCTACTGTTCAGAGCTTTGTCAATTGAGGAATTTGAATTATGCTGCGTTTTTGAGATACATACAAGACTAAAGTGTGGTCATTCGCATGGAGTCCCCTCAGTGTGTTTGCGTAATTCACCCTATCGGTATCCGGAGCCTCCAGTTAGCTTTCATAGTCTCTTAGGTGTAGGTTAATTCGTTGGAAATCGCACTGTTTGATCGAACTTCATTTGCCCGTAAGCTATATGACCGAATGACTCAGGTTACCCGCAGCTTTCTCGATTTTTTTAAGTTTCGGGGTTCCAACCTCTATGTTTCATTCAGGATAATGGGAAATGGAATAGTAGCTGGAGGTTGGTTGAAAAGTTCTTCGAAGTGTTCATCCCATCCTTTCAGTTATCTCTTCTGCCAATGAATAACAGATTCATCGTTTTCCACCATCCACTCTCCTTTTCGTTCAGATTTTCTTCATAAGTCTAAACAGCTATCTACTTTTACTGGCCACCGCTGTTTTTTCCATCTCTTTAAGCTTCGGTGCCTATCACTTTTCACGGTCATTGTGTAGAATTTTTGTCAGTCCATATTTGATTTATTTCTGCTCCTCGTTATGCTGGAAGCCTGAAGGGGTGTGTTGGTGTGTATCCATTAATTTAGAAGCGGCTGATTTCCACTGGTTCCTTTTAACCACCTTTTAAGAGTTGTTAAAGGTCTTCAACACTTATTTTACCATAGACTTGTGATGACTCTAGGCTTCTTCTGGATGACTGATGTTCTGTTTTGATAATTGTGTAGTGAGTTTCTCTTTAGAAGCAGGCTTAGTGATCTCATCGTCAAGCTGCATTCACAATGATCTTGTCCGTTTAGACACAGGTGTACACGTGTTGTAGCCAACGCGTAGTCACTGTCCAAACGCGCTAATGAAATTGTGGTAATCTTCCACCGATCCTCTCCAGCGGTAACTGATAACAAAATGGTCTGTGTGCATCCACAGTTGAGTTGTAGTTGGTGGACGCCACATCAGACAATGTGTCTTTAATTCTGAATTTCTTTCTGCTAGGAATAAACTGTATAAGCACAAATGTAGCAGACGATTGGGGTTATCTGTTCCTTCGCCTGGGGTTATGGAAGTGTCATCTAAGTGCCTTTCTGCCTGACTTACCCCACCCACTTATGTGTTGAAATCACCTGCAACAACAATCACGTTTGACAGCTTTGCGCTCAGGAAGTGACTAGACAGTAAGCAGAACTCGTTCTTCTCTTCGGAACTGCAGTCAGTGGATACATAAGGAGTAATTATTCGGCTTCGAATCAGTTACAGTGGTGCAATTGGATCCACATATTATCGTCCACTTGACCGCCAAGTCGCATTGCGTTATTTTCTTTCACTTTTCCTGTTTGGGTTATAGTCTTTTACAACTTCTGGTTATATTATCTACTTTTCTTTATTTTTCGCCTTATTGTCTTCTATCCTGGTGTGCAGTATTGTTTTTCGAACTGTTTCACAGTTATTTCATGTCCCATGTTTTTATTAACTAACTGATAACTTTCATCTATAACTCAGGAAATCACAAGACAGTTCAAAGCATGAACTGGAATAGGGTGTTAAGATTGAATAGTATTAGCAGTGGGTATCTATCCCTACTGCGTTGTTTACATTTCGGGTAATGTTATTAGCTATCTCTTACAAAGCCGAGCATAAAGCAGATAGTTTTCTGTACGTCAGCAAGATTTTCTCAAACTGTCATCAAATAAGTTGCTTATGCCCCAAATATTACTAGCCGATTTCAGTTCGGACGATGTGAAGAACAATTCCTACCAAACTTTGTCAGTCAGAAAGTGAAAAATTAAGATGCAATCATACAAGTAGCTGACTCACTCAGTTACTAGGGTTTGCCGAAGCGGTAAAGCGTTTGGAGTATACTTTTGGAATTTCATGCACATGGGATGATAATACAGTCTTCCTCTATAATTTCATTCCTGGGCAGTACTGGTATCAAACATAAGGTTGGACATTTTTTCAGCAGCAATCATCCATAAACTCAATTAGATCTTAATAATGTCATTTGTCATTGATAAGAATCAGTTAATGTTTCTCTTTCTGAATCTTCGCTGTCAATCTGGGCACATTCGACTTAATCTGAATGGGTGGGGAAACAAGCCTAAAATTCTAAAGCTCTACTCGACGGGAACACTACTAAGTTTGCATTTAAATAACACTTTATCAGGTATTTGTTGTAGCACAGTATAGGTTATCCTTTCCTCGGCGTTGTCTACTATATATATATATATATATATATATATATATATATATATATATATATATATATATATATATATATATATAATTAGTCTTTCATCATGAACTGACATCATTTGGAGGAATGTTGAAAACTTGAGAGCACTGGACAGGTGTTTCGTCCTGGCATGGGGCTCTTCAGTAGTGCACACCCATGACCCCACCAGGGATCGGAACCGCGACCTTCAGATTCCGTGGTCAGCCCCAATAAGAAGTGGCCAGGGGGATAAACCTGGTGGCCGTGAGGACAGATACTCAACTCTGACATTGGCTGATCGTCACGCTATGTCATGAACTGACAGAAGTTGGAAATATAGACCACTAGATTCCGATCCAGTGGTTTAATAGTTACGTGCTGGCCACGGAACCTGAAGGTCGCACTGCTGAAGTCCCATACTAGGGCGAAACATCTATACAGTGCTCCCAGGTTTCCAGTATTCGTCTAAGTGATGTCAGTCCATGATGAATACCAACTTGAAAAATCACTAAGTCCTCACACATCCCCAAATTACATATATAACTACATTCATTGAATGACGACCTTCATCATATCCAAACACACGCCACCTCACTTCAGAATAACTTACATCATGTTTCCACGTTATTACAATGCTCCAGGTGCTGATGCGGTAGGAAATTTCATCAGTCACACCTCCACCGGTACTCGCAACTTGCAGGTAAACAAACTTTTGGACAACTTTCAACCATTCACCGCCAAGGGTGAGTGCAGGTGTAAGTACCCGCACTTTGAACTTTGATGGTGCGAAACTCATGCTGTACTTGAGGACAGTGTTTGCCAAATAATTGAGTACGATACTCACTAGAACCGTTCTTATGAACGATAGGTTAACTCTGAGAAAAGGCGGCTAAAATGTATAAAACAAAGCAACAGTTAAACTAGTATGCAGACAGAAATGATGTCAGATACCATAAAATTGTTTATCCTCCCAAGTTGCTATTTTTTTCAGCACAGTGAGTATGTCCACAGAAAGGAATACCGAAATAAGGATATTAAAAGCAGTCACCCAACAGTGGTTAACAATGCTTTTCTTTCAACTTATCTCTGAATTGAAGTCGCTGGTCTTCCGTTGTGCCTAACTGCCTATCGAATAAAATTGTATCATTTAACGTAGATTGTAAATAATAATTTAGTGTGTAATATAAACATAATAACGGCCTGAACTCTACCACGATACTTAAATTCCTTTCTTACATGCGATGTTTGAAAAACCTTAAGATGTAACGACTTAAACATGGAATCAGTCTGAGTGTTGTAGGCAATTTGGCGTGTCATCAAGCGCACGTAGCTGGATTTATTTACGTTGTCTTGGCTAAAATTTTGGACGTCCTAGTAGGCTTTTCTTACTTCTGGGTTTTCCTTCCTATCCGTTCTTCCTGTTCCCCTGCCCACTCGCATAACGAGATGGTATGTATGTCATGTAGGGGAGAAGATGCTTAGCCTGAGTTCTGTTGAAATGCCTGCGATATCGGTTTGGTATTCTTGACAGCAATCAGTCGGAAGTCGCAGAATGAAGTTGAATGCTTGATAGCACTTATCGGCGGTGTACATGTTGACTTTGTAAGAACTGGTACTCATCCAAAAACTTACTATAATGTCAGCCATCTGTGTGCAGAAAGATGTTATCACTAGGTTATTAAAACAGTAGTGGTCTTATAGAGTAATTAAATGTGCTGCTGGGCTGGTAACTGCAAACTGATTTCATGTCTCTAAGTTGTGGCCATATTTTATTGATCGAGTATCGTAGTACTAGTAGTTATTACGATTATTCCTTTTTTGCATCATTCAATAAAAATATGTAAAATATAGTTAAACTTAATCGAGCAGACAGCTTAAATGATTTTGTTTCTTCCTTATAGGGGGAAGTTCAGGAATTGGAAAAGCAACTGCAGTTTTGTTTGCGCAACTAGGTGCACGTATTGCTTTAGTTGCTCGAGATAAAGTGCGACTGGAAGAAACTCGACAAGCATGCTTGAAAGCATCACGTCAAGAAGCTCATGAGAAACACAAAGAACCTTTTTTGTGCATCGAAGCGGATTTAACGGATTCTCGTGAAGTTGAAAGAGCGTATCGTTTGGTTATAAATCACTTCCATCAACTTGATATATTGGTAATTTAAATTTTGAAAAAAATAGTCTTTCAGTTTTCATCTAAGCAGTTTTATCCAATCTCCAATTTTAATCCATCTAAGTGCTTACATATTCAGAGACATTTTTAGGCCTTCGTTTACAATTTTTGGTAACGTTTTAAGATCAAGATTTATAGTTGCTCATCTCTTGATAAATAAAACATAATTCTGGTTGCTGAAAATGTACAGAAAGAATTTATAACGAAGTTAAACAAGACTGGAGAAAGCGAGCAACCGTGGCGGACACCACTGACTCGTTAATTCAAATGACAACTCTCCATAAGCCATTACACGGCTACACAAGTTCGAGTAGACAGCTTTGGTCAGCGTTGCATACTTACTTGATGCTCCTTTCACAGTCAAACACATATGAAATTCCACGGTCAATAGAGTCAAATACTACCTTCAAATCGAAAAATATTGTAAGTGTCGACCGCCGGTATTTCTGTTTCAGGATCTGTCGAAAGGTGAAGATATGATCGATGCATACTCATCTAGACCTAAAACCTGCCTAATTCTCTCCAGTTTGTCGTTCTCCGGCTCCAGTTAGGCATTAGATAACTACGGACGTTGAGAGCTTGAACATGATGTCAGTTAGACTGAGTACCCTACGGATGTTACAAGAAGACTTCTCTCCCTTCTCGTACACTGAAAATGCTCAGTGTTGTGGACTAGTCTCACGGGACCACCCCTGGTACCTTCGTTACTGTAATCAGTAATTCCCTACCCCTATGCTTAAAACTTTTGGGTGGCAAACAGTCAAGTCCTGCTGCTTTGCATCATTTCAGGTTGAAAAACGCCTTCTCAACTTCGAGTTTAGTTGGTGGACTGACGTCTATGTAAGCTGCGGTCGACAACTGAAGCGTTACTTTGGCTCAGTTAAACTGTGCTCCAAAGTGTTCTGCCCAACGTTCTAACAGCCCGTCCCGAGAGGTTATCAGTGTCCTATCCTTTTCGATGTTGGTCTCACTGACCACCGCTTCTTTCTGTCGGTGTTTTCCAAAAGCCTAAATAGTTTCATGGTGTTACCTAACGCTGATGCCTTCTCTATTTCTCTTACTTTCACCACTCACAATTGCCAGCGGTCATTGCGAAGACTCTAAGTCAATTTACGTATAAGTTGCTTTCGCTTCTCATTGTGGTCAAAACCAGCTTGAATCAGTATTCTTGCATCAGTCAGTCTGGATGTGGTTAGGGAAATCCATTGACGTATGCTGACCTTTAGATGTAGGTTGTCAACTATGTGTGCTGCTGTTTCTACAACAGACTTAATATCACTCCAGGTTCCCTTAGCGTGAACATTGCTGTCATGTTATCTTTTCCTTGAATACTCATTTCATGTTTTTATCTATCAGTCGAGGACACAGTTATCACTACCGTCTTTTACTTGCGACCAACAAAGCACAGACATACACGTACTAGTACTAACGCATGATCGGAGTCCCAACGTCTAATCCAGAAAGAGCGTTAGTCCTCCAGGGATGTGAGACAGTATCTCTGCTTATGCTTAAAGTTAGTGCTGCCAGATACATGAGATTATTGGGACACAATTGCAAGAGTCGACCACCATTGTCGGTTCGTTGGTGTGGGATTTCGTAATACCTCCCAGATGCGTTTCCGATCTGCTTGGCTTTCCTGCCAGAGCGTCAAAGTTACTTTCCATTATGACTGTATCTAAAAGTTTCTCTTCCTGTAGCTAGTTGACAGTTTCTGACATAAATGATCATTTGCATCATCCGAACTGCAGTCGGTAGGTGTGTGGGCGGAGATTATGTGTAAACATCGGTTGGTCTCATGACCCTTCCTAGGTTGTACAGATCTATCCTCTCGGAAAGTATACAAACGGTTGTTGATCGGTATTGAGTCGAGGAGTGCGCTTTCTGTTCGACAACATAATCCTTTACCTACACTAATAAGTGTACGAGAGCTTGTCACTGGATCTCCGGATACTCTTAAGGTGAATTTCGAAGGCGAGGTCTGTTCTGTATCCGTTTCTGGGGAACACATCATAAATCCATGCTTCGAGATTCTAGAGTTCTGATGAGCTATGCCTACTGTCCGATTTTGGCATGGGGTTCGGACGTTGAAAGCTGCAATGTGAAATCGACAGCGGAGTTTTAGGAGACTAGGAATAGTGTTTTGTTGGCTTGAATCGTTGGCAGTGGTCTCAGTGAGTGGTTGAGGAAGTTTTTAAGGGCCTTAATATCGGTATCGGAAGGTGATAGGGCAAGGGAGGAGACGGAGTTGAAGAGGATAGGTTGTTTTATTGAATCTTGCATACCACTGAAAGCGTGTAGGTGGTTGACTCTTTGTACACTGTGGACATTTTTACCTGGAAAAGAAAAGGTTTTTGTGACTGCATAGCCCAAGGGACATCTGGGTAATACCTGTCACACACGGCCTTTCTGAAAATGTTGGTATGCGATTTGACTGTTATAATACCCTACAACATAAGCCCATACTCCGGGCATCGGAAGACTTTGGAGAAGGATGCTATTTTGGGTACCAGTATTTTCTAGCCCCCCCTCTCCCTTAGAGAAGGCAGCATCAGCATGGCACTACTAGTCATCCTCAGGGATCACCTTACTGATATCATACCCCATCCAGCTAGCAGTATGACTTCGCCCTGGGATCCCTATCAAAACGTAAAAACTCTCACTACAGTGGTAACTTTTTTGTTTTACTACTATCCTACAAACTTTTCTGGCATGGTAAGACCTCAAGGAACAAATATTCCACTAGCATAGCTCGTTGGGTGATCGTGCAATCCTGACCACCACGCCGAGGTGGTGGCATCAGTCGGGACGTTCAAGTTCTGTTGTTGAGGTTAACTGGAGCGTAAGGTAGTGTATGAGAATCAGATACAAACCCCTGTGACTGGTTTCAATCACTGATTATCTAAATCTTCAAGAAAGGACAGAAATCTTTCTGTGATTATAATCATAGGGGAATTCGCCTAACGAATATCTTGTCTGAAATCGGAAGTTCTGTAACCATCCTTCTGGACAGAGCTCGAGAACAACGGTCAGGTTTCAGACCCGTTCGTGGGTTCATCGGCCGGATATTCACACGTACGGGTCTTTGAAACTAGTTATAATTCCTGACCTGAAGGCATTCGACTCTATCGATAAAGATGTCTTATGTCAATATCTATCACTGGAAGGGATGCTGGCTAAGTACGTCACTCTGTTTGAGGCTCTATATGGAGACACATCTGATCGTCTTACGGCTTGTGGTAAGTTATCTGGTGAGTTGCGTAAGCTGGGAATGTCCTTTTCCTCTATTCTTATTGAGTTTTGTCACAGACAGACTTATGAAGATCTCTCTGTTCTCTGAATTTACAGGGATTTACCTCAACACAGAAGACTTTAGAAGACCTAGGATGCGTTTCTCACCACCCAACCGCAAACTGTTACTCCACAACTGTTTTTCAGTGGTACCCTGTCTAACAATACGATATGAAATTGCTGAGCGCGTTGACCATTTAGACTGCTGTGAAGATCGGGTCAGCCTTGGTGGGTCAGTGGTCAACAAAATCTCTGCGTGGATACAAAAACGTGTGTATTCCCTCACTAACTTACACTATCTGTGGCGCCGCCGTGATTTTCTATTGTCTATTAAGGGTTAAGTGTAAAGTACAGTCCTGCAGTCTGCTCCGTCCTACTATATAGCTGTGAAACATTGCGTTTAAAGGCAGGATTTATGAAGAGGCTCCGGGTATTCGACTACTGTAGTAGTAGTAGTAGTAGTAGTAGTAGTAGTAGTAGTAGTAGTAGTAGTAGTAGTGTAGTGGGCGTTGCTGATAACAACGGATATAAGTAGCATATATCGAAAGGGTGGCAGGAATCATAGCGAATTACCGGCAATGGGTAAAGTTTCTGCCAAGAGCAACGCAGGGGACAACACAGGCGTATTACAGGGATGCTGCTGATAAGAGTGTATGAAGAGCCGGTCAAGAGCAAATCAAGACAGGAACAGAGGAGGAAACGAAGACATTTGCAAATGGCTGGGTTAGTGCAAGGGGTGCCATATGTAACCACTACCATTCCAATTGTTCGAGTTGTCTTCTGTTTCTTCAGTAGTAGTAGTACCACAATCTGTGTCGCGGTGTCATCACTTCTGCAACGCAGAAGTCAGGTGTGAAGTTACTGGGAGAAGCAGAAGAGTGGTGAGCCTTCACTGAGTCAAACGGCTGGGACACGTGTTACACATGCCTGGTTACAATCTGCCACATCGTGCGATGTAAGCTGAAGTAGGTTTAGGCTGGGTAAGGTTAGAATACATTGCTCAGTGGTGTATAGATTTTAGAATTTAAGATAGATGCAAGTTGAAACAGTTTCAATTTTTCTCTAAGTTTACTTACAGAAGTTGGTCAGGTATATGAATTCCGTATTGAAATTCTGAAACGTTAGATCCTGCGTTCAGGGAATACTAAAATAATGCTGCAAGTAACTATTTCGCAATAATGAATGTTTTTGTGTCTAAGGAGTAAGGAGGAAGTCGTTTAAAAGATCTTATTACTTACTATTCGACCTCCTTTTATAACTTAAGAATTTCTACCAATGACTAATTCATTTTTAACAATTTTTTTTTCGAATTCCAGGTAAATAATGCGGGGTGCATGATACGAGATACTGCGGAAACATTCAATGTGGATGAATTCGACCGTCTAATGAAAGTGAATTTAACTGCTGCAATTTCCCTAACTCATCTTGCTATCCCTGACCTTACTATCACTAAAGGTTCTATCGTAAATGTATCTAGTGTCTGTGGCAACCGATCGTAAGTTTCGAAACAATCATTTGATAGCAGTTGTAAGGCACTGTGTATAATGTTCTGCATGGTACTAACCAATGACCACTTATGTTTGCTTTGTCAGTGAATTCATTGAATAAGGGTTTCACTTAAGATTTATGACTGGACAGGTGATCAGTACGTAATAAAAATGGGCAAAACTACCTAGAATTATATCAATTCAACTTACCGCAGCACATGTATGTGCTAGTCGATGAACAACTTTTGCATAGAGGACTTATAATTTTATCCCTTTGCTTAGGCTGAAACAGTTTAAGTGGGTTTGAACCTGGGACCCGTCGCTAGAAAGTTGAACGTCTAAGCCAAATGCGCCACATCTTCATATATACAAGCATCATCTATATCCATACTTGTTTAAAGTTGCTTTTTTATAATTACTGTCTTTCTTTACCCAGGGCTAACCTGAACCTTGTCTAACGGATGTACCAAAAAAGCACGTTTATTTTCTGATTTTCAGCAACTGAAATAATTGCGAATAGTAGAGGTTTCTCTGTGCATTTATTCTAGAAATGCGACTAAAGGAAAACTACTGTTTTCTGTCCCCTGATAAGAAGATCTCGCATTCACCTGACTTTACTACATAGGACACTGTTCGAATCCGAGGGGATTGATTTAAGAGCAGTTGTTTTCATTGGTGGGTCTAATTCCATTTCAATGGGATATAAAAATATGGTTCATTCGTTTACTCACTTGAATTGAAACCACTGGATAACAGGCTATAACTAATTAATCCCGCTCACTCTTGTCCGGGAAACTTGATAGTGTCATCAATCCTTATCTATGCAATCTTTGTTATCACTTCCAGATAGAGTCAAGGTGGAAAACTGGACTAAAGTCCATCAAGCTAAGTTGCTATATTTCGCAACAGAAGAGAAAGTAAGCGGAAAGAAACAGAGTGATGCTGAAACATACATATAACATACAAAATTAAGACTACAGCCAACTAGTTTGTTTCCTGTGATATCACTTTCAAAAGCTGTTTAGTTGAAATCCAATGTGATAATGAAATTTTCATCATTATTTTGAGGAACTGTAATCGCTAGTTGGTTATGGTCAGGGAAATAATATGGAAATGAGAGCACTAGAATGTGAAACAGCCTGAACAACTATGATTGTTGTGTCCGTGATCAGCTAGTAAATAACCACAGTCTGGAAGATTGAGGTGAACAATCAACTAAAGGCACATGACTTTAATCCATTTGCAATCATTCTCATCTACGATAGCCTGATCAGGTCACCTACGCCGTTTAAACCTTGTATATTTTCATATATACATTTTTTAATTACATAATCCACTTAATATGATGGCCTATGCAAATATGTTCTCGATGCGCTTGGCGATGTGTTTATTTTAGTGTTGGGATCAGCCTTATGTGTAGCAACCACTAACAATACAGGCATAAAAATGCAGTAGAATTTTCTGGGGGTTGTAGGAGGGATGAAGATATTTTCAGCCACCAGTTGTTGTGTTTATGGGTTAACTGGTTAAATATACAACATCTTTTACCGTCAAGATGAGCGTTTTAAATCGCTTTTATTTTTCATATCTTCCTTTTCATCAAATGCGTCGAACAGACCAACTATCGGTTTGAGTAATATTTTGAATTGCACTATAACCAGGAAGGAGTAACATTTAAACAGTAGGTTTTCGGGTTTTCGGAAGCGTTTAAATTTGCCGTGACAAACACCACTGATTTTTTAGCTATACTTTTACTACGCAAGTTAGTTTCTATTTATTATTTTTATTATTTGTCCTTTGGGTTCTCAGTGGAACATAGGATTTCAGTAGAACGTTGCCATTTCACTCTGTTCTCTACAATCTTTTTGACCTGGCTCCACGACTGCCCAGAAGCTTTCACTTCTTCCTCACACGATCTCCTTGTCACCCTTGGCTCAGACGCCCAACTCGTCGCTTCCCCTTTGGGCTCTACTCGACGACCTGACCTGGCCTGGCACGTGGTGTCCCCAAATAGTCTTCCCAGTGTATGTCCAATCCAATCCAATCCATCTCCACTTTCTTCTGCATATTTGTTGGGTGATGGGTTCTCGGTTGGTTCGTTGGCAGGCCAGAGTGAGTTTCTTGTTCCCTTATTCTTTCTGGCCTCCTGATCTGATCTTCAGTATGGAGTGAGCGAGCGTAGACGGCAGCTGTTGGTGTGTGTCTGTAGTTTGTTGGAAATGCTTTTCGTGACGCGCCAAGTCTGTCAACCATCTTATAGAATCACTGACTTGACTGACATTGTTGTTGAAAATCCGTATTTTGTTCTTTATAGTGAGTGGAGTGGAGTGGAGTGGAGTGGAGTGGAGTGGAGTGGAGTGGAGTGGAGTGGAGTAGATCTGCACACCGATTTTAGGTCAATGAAGGTCTGTCTTGCAGTCTTTCCGATTCTGACTTTGACATCCTCATCTGTGCCTGTGCCGCGTGTAGTTGAAACGATGCTGCCCTGCCTAGGTAGGTGAAAGAGACAACTTGCTTTATATTTCTGCTGTTGATGGTGATCGGTGCTTGTTGTTGTTGTTGGGTATCTTCATCACCTGAGTCTTCTCTACGTTCACCTGAATGGAGTCCGATCTTCGCTTCCCTGCCTCTTCTGCCAACTTGTTAGTTTTTGCCTGTAGATCTTCGAGTTTGTGCTACATTAGACATAAATCATCATGGACGGGATCCAAATTTGCTAGGATCTTTCATCAGTCAAACAGCGTATCCCCATCTACCCACAGCTCCTCACAGTTTGTTGCATGATGCAGTGCAGTTGAGTCAACTAAATCAGGAAGAATGTCGATCATAGTAGACGGCAACCTTGTCTTACTCCTGACTTCATTTCGAAGGCATCACTGAGTTTTCCATTGTGAATCACTTGGCATGTAGTGTCGCCATATGGTATATAGCTGTTGAATGAGGTTGATAAAGGTTTGTGGCACTAAAATTGTAGTTTTGAAGCAGCTGCCTGCCAAATTACTTCTCAGTCGACGCTATCGAATGTCTTTCTAAAGTCGATGAAATTGAGGTGAGGTAAAGAGTTGACTCCACTTCTATGCTCTGTTCTATGATGTGATGTGTGGCGTAGCCTTGCAATTTGATGCGCAGATGATTTGTTTATCCTGAAGCTAGCCTGTTCCTGTCATAATTTTGAATGCTTAATATTTTGCTTGGGTGGACAAGGATGGAAGATGATTCCACCCAGTTCTTGCAAAGTCTTAGTTTTCCCTTCTTTGGGAGTTTGGAAAGGTAACCCTTCTTCAGTGTGCAGTTACCTTCCGTTATTTCTATCAAACCTTCTTCAATAGTGTTGTGAGCATGTCCGCTGTTATCTTTGCTTGTTTTCAGTGCTTCTGGAGGAATTCCATCTGGTGCTGCTGCTTACCCGGATTCCAGCAGCTTTATTGCATGGCGTTCAGGACTTCATTGTTGCTATTGTCGAAGGTCTTGTATTCACTGATAGTTCTGTGGCTGGGCTGCTGGTAGTGTTTCTGGACGAGTTGCAGATGGTGGTGTTGGTGGTCGATTCAAGAGTTTTTTGAAGTGGTCAGCCCATCGTTCCTTTGTTTCTCCTCTTTGGTAACTAGCTTTCCCTCACCATCTTTGACTGGTGTCGTCTGAGTTGATCTCTGCCCTCCCAGATAGTAACCTGGTTATTTGATATAATGTTGTCAGGTCTCTGTCTCCGTCTCTGCTGCCTGCAACCTGTTCTGTTTCGCTTGCTTATGTGTCGTAGAAGTGTCTTTTGTGTTTGCGCGTACTCTTCTTCACTTGTTTCTTCAGTGTAGTGTTTTATACAATGTACTCAGTTCCTCTTGTCGTTGTTTATCCCTGCACTGCACTGGTTCATCTTCTGCTTCACCATTTTCCCTTCTTCCTCTATAAGCTTCCATGTGTCCGTCGAGATCCATTCCTTGTCTGCTTCGTCTTCCTTTCTAGTACGGTTATGCAGGTTTCTTTCCACATCTGTTTCGAAGAGTTCCAGTGTTCATGTACACAGGTTCCTTAAGGGATGTTGCTTAACGTCTCCTATTTTGTTTGATGGATGATTTGAAGATGTCCCTTGTAGTTTCGTGCTTCAGTTTCTGTTCTAGGTGTTGAACTTGAACTGTGGTCTATCATCACCAACTTCTTTGAAGGCTTTCAACTTGATTTTGAAGGTAGGTTCTCTGCACTAGATAGTGAGTGATGTGAACCTACATCTGCTCACCTTCTTGATCTGATCTTGTGTCTAGTAGACTGTATCTCCACTTTCTTCACATTGAGATGAAGTTGATCTGATTTTTAGTGTAACTTGTCCATCTGGTGAAATCGAATCCTTGTTGCTGCCTTGTAATATTTTGTGTTTGTACACACTGCCTGACTCCAATCACCAAATCGTTGAGTGCACAGAAATCTGCAAACAGTTCTCCATTCTCATTCATTTCATCGAGTGTTTCTTGACCCATGATTGGTTCTCTTCCTGTGTTGTCCAACCCCAGTTTAGTATTCATGTCACCACACCGATTAGAATTTTGATGTGCCAACTGGAGTTTTGTTCAGTGTTGATTGTAGTTGTGTGTAGAATTCCTTCTTCTTCTCTTGATCTGCATTATTTGTAGGTGGGTAGGGTAGCATTGTATGATTGTGACTTTCCTTCCTTTTGAGTTGGATCTTGCTGTCATGATCTTGCAGCAGGAGATTGGTTCCCACTGCATGAGAGCTTTTGATGCTGTTGGGGAAATCATGATAGCCACTCCAAAACTCAGTGAGCTCATAGTTGTCGTCTGGGTAACAATATTGGAGCAGATTGTTGACTCTCCAGTTGACAGTTTGGAGAGTCCACTTCCATTCCATCTGGTTTCGCAGATTCCTAGAACTTCAATGCCATATCTTCTCATGTTTGCAATTCGGACCACATTGTCAGCCAGCTTCAAACCTGGTGCGGACATTCCATGTCCCTATGTTTACATTTG